AATTTTTATTTATGTGATATATTTATATCACCATACATCATTCTAAAATAGATAATATGCTTAAAGAAGGTATAGAATAAATATAATTATATAAACATAAATGATATAATATATACAATTAAATAAATATCAAAATAATTAATTTAATTACATTTACAAAATTAAATGTAAACAGATATTGTTTTGATCTGGACAATAAACTTTTTATTTTAATACATAATAGTATATGTAATTTCCAAGTAAAAATAAAAAGTTAAGAATTAAATAACTATGCATGTCTTCATTGTAAGAAAATAATCAACTTCATTTATACATAAAAAATTTTTAACAAAAAATTTATCTTCATAAATTCTCTACTGATTATAAATTAAATCTATTTAATCAAATATAATATTACTAACATAAGGTGCAATATTTAAAAAAATTGCATGTGAAATTAATTTAAGAAGTACACATTATAGACATTTAAAATTATGTATTAATTAGGATTTTGAAATTTTCTAAAAGCGTTTCTACTAAACTTTTTAAACAACGAATATTTAAAATGTTGACATCTAAGGTTATATTATATAGGTTATGACTTTAGAGGTTATAAGAAGATTTTCAAAATAGAAAACTGTTTTACGTGAACGAATCAATTGAAAGAAGTGATAAATAGATTGGTAATGAAAAACAAAGGGTGACCGATCGGGTAACAATATTTTACATATGATCAAAGCAGTAGCCATAGCCTCTCTTTATTCCAAGCCTCCTTCCATCCAATTACACATTATGAACTATGTTAAAGCAGTACTGTTTTGTACACGCGTAGAAATTTACTATCTCAATTTAATATTAATAGAAACAGACGTGATCACAATAATTTACTTACTGTTAAATATCCTCTACACAGCTATTAACCTAACCAAAAATACTTTATCGAGATCGAGAACAGCGTCAACCTTCGGTTGTTTTCAATTTGGAGGGGATACGTTTAGAAATAAATTTAACAAAATGGCCGACAGATGTGACTTTGGGGAATAGCCAACTATAGATAAGAAATCTGCGCAAAACTTTCACATTTTACATAGCACTTGTTCGTAACAGGTAACTAATCGTGTAATGTACGTTATATGCATATAAATGTTTACTAAAATTATTGTTACTTAATATTTAACTTATATTTGTAACTTGTACATTTAGAATCACAAAGTAAACGCGCGATATATAAAATGTAAGTTCACAACTTCTCATTGGTATATACTGTGCTTGCGCAATGTAAATGCACCATTCCATATAACTCAAACATAATTTGTCGTTTACGAATCTATTCATTGTTGTATTTTATGATTTATAATCCGTTGAATTAGAAGAAATTTGAATTTCTTTATATACATTGTCTTTTAAATATTATTGACATATATGTTGCATTGTTAAAAAATATCTAATTATTTTTGTACAATATGTGAAATAATAATGAATAAAATGAATAAAAACTAAAGTGTAGTGTATAAGGTATACTATTATTATTAAAACTGAATTAAACACTAGAAATAATGTTTGTTGAATCTATGTCAACAGTGAGTATAAATTAAATTTTTAAATATTTAAATATTTTACAAATATTATTACATATTATGATATATTTTTTTAGGGCAAACCCAAAGTCAAACAATCACAATTTAGGAGAATGATAGATTGTTCAACGTGTCCAAAGTTATTACCAAATAAGATTTATATAAAAGGTAATGTCAATAATATAACTCTTTTTCTTTAAATTAGATAGTACTACTAAATGAATTTTTATTTTATAGACCATGAAAGAGCTCAACCAATTAAAATTGCACAATTACTTGGACAATCTGAAAATTTAAAAAGTCTTCAGAAGAATAGTGGTTAGTTATTTAATTTTTGTTTTTAATTTTTTAATGAAAATATTGTTTATTCATAAAGATGAATATATTCCAGTACACAAAAAAGTACAACCTGAAAGATTAGGAACATTTTCAAGTATAAAAGGTATAAAGATAAATGAGAAACAAAGTGGTTAGTATATAAATATTTAATATATAATTTTATTTTATTATTAGTTTTATTTTTTAACAGAAAGAAGTACTTCTGGGCAGCATACATCTAATAATAAACGTGTACGTAGAAATCTTAATTTTAATGAAATTTCTATTAGCACTATAGAAGATAATAAAGAAAATAAAATTCATTCAAATAAGTCCATACCTAATAAGTCATTTCATGAAAATATTTCCAAACCAATAAAAAAAAGAAGTTTACTACTACCACCAAATACTATAAAAGACAAATATTTACAGAAATATAATAAGAAAGAAAGGAAGCATTCAACAATATCTGATGTATTTGAAAATGGTAGTAATATTATTGAATCTTTAAATACTAATATTAATCCTACAGTGTTGTCTGATAATATATTAATAAACAGTGAACAAAAAATTAATCAATCTCCTGATTATACAACATTAAAATTTATTGAGCATGGAGATTTTAAACCATTGAATGTTACACCACAATCTTTGATTTCTTCGGAGGGTAAATCTTCTCAACAAATAATCATACATAATGAAGATCAGATATTTACACAAAATAATGCAGTACATGAGAGACTGATTCCAAACAAGAATTCTTTGAAAAGTGACGTATCAGTAATACTAGAAGAAGCAGATGATGTTCAAAATTTATGTAACGACTTTCAAGATTCAAAGCTAGTAATATCTGAAAATGATATGAATATAGAACATAAATCATCTAAGATGATCTATATAAATAAGGACAATATTATTTGTTTGGAACGTAATTTAAAAAATTTATTAAAAGAAATAGAAAGAAATAGAATGAAATTAAAATCAACATTAACACATGTTACAAGATTATTATCTATAAACAGTGAGGAAAATGCACTTTGTAATATTGAATTAGAAAAAGAAAATATTATGATAGATAAAGAAGTCCAGGTAGAAATTTGTTGCAAGTCCACTCAGTACTCAGAAGAACAACTAAAAACACCTATTATAATTGCAACACAAAACCCACAAATTACAGAACAGAACGTGGAGATTTTAAATAAAAGTACGTTAAATCAAGATGATGAAAATAAGAAAAATAATAGAAATGAGAATACAACAAGAATGTCTGATGTTATGACAGATGGAAGTTTCCTAGAATTAGAAAATCAACTTAATATTAATTATGCAAGAGCTACTCAGAAATATTCAATCCAACCAAAGATTCCAAAAATTACAAAATATAAACAGAAACAATCATTTAGAGAATACATGGCTTTAAAATCAAATATAAGTTTCTTAGAAACTCCAGATGGTAAAAAGTTTAGATCCTTATGTCAAATAGATAACACAGATAAATCTGTTCTCAATATAACATATATATCAAATAAATTGCTTACAGATCTTGATAATTTGTACTCTGAATCACCAGAGTCTTAATTATAAATTTTTATAATTCCAATGTATCAAAAAATTGTTAATGTATTCGTTTAATTTATAATCTACTTTTATATATATAAGTTATATATTTAATATTTAAATTATTATTAGTTATTACTATTAATTGTAGTATATAAATTTTATATTTGTATATATAATTATCTGTACATTTATAAGTCTTAAATTTAAAATCAATACTGTATATCATTTATTAAATAAAAGTTAATATGTACTTTCATGTATTATATTTATTAAAATACTAATGAATGTATTAAAAATTGTTTGTTACAATTAAAGTTACCATTTAAATTGAATGCCACAAATTTTAAATACAATTATGTAAAATGATATCAATTTTGGACATTATTAAAAATGTAAATCTTTATAATAAACACAATAAATATACTTAATATAACGTAAATATAGAAATAGGTTAGAATAAAGTAATATGTAAAGCAAAAGTGTATCGTATGATTGCGTATCTTTTAGGATGCTCGATCAATGGTGCAACTATCTCAAGCTCGCTCCGGATGATTCCTGTCACGGTGAAATTATTAAATGTATAATGACATTCAAACCAGGGGTTTTTATTTCTAAATTGATTTCTGATATTATTTTTAAAACAACTTGTGCATTATGTTACACTTTTTAAAAATCTCGTTACAAAACTAACTATCATACTTTGATGAAATAAACGTAAAGAGAATGGCTCGGGCGAAGCATAGAGTTAACACGGATATATGCGCTGACTGTGGAGCACTCGGTAAATACATTCATTTCTTCTAATGATTTGTTTAACATGTGAGCGTTGTTAAATTTTTTTAATCTCTTACTAATATGGCACAATCATATGTCAATAGAAAAATGTTTCGTAACTAGTTAACACTAGATGATTATTTAATAAAGGTTAATGTCAATTACATATTTAAATCTTTTATGAATTTTTTACGCATATATATTGTTTATGGCAATTAATTTATATATTAGAAAATTATATTTTATTCATCTATTTATTGAATTTTATAATTTATATTACTTAATTTTTCAGAAAAACGTATGTTATTATTTCATTCATATAGTTTCTGCTACTTAATACAATTTAATATATAAATTTATCAATAATAATTTACATTTAGTTATCAAATTTATATGAAAATAAATTTTGCGATTGCTTTTAGAACCAGGATGGGCTTCATTGAACAGAGCAATTTTATTATGTGATGATTGTTGTGGTATTCATCGTAGCCTTGGCCGCCACATATCTCAAGTAAAATCACTTCATGAAAGCATTTGGCATACAAATCTCCTTAATGTTAGTAAACATAAATACAAAATTGTTTAAAAAGTGTATAATTTAAGAAATAATGATTAATATCTTACAGATGGTGCATACCTTAAATGATAATGGAGCAAACAGTATTTGGGAACATTCCCTTTTAGATCCTAGTAATTCAAAAATTAGTAGAAGAAAACCACAAGCTAAAGATCCATTACAGTTAGTATAAATATTTTTATAAAGTAATATAAAATACAAAATTTTAATAATAATTTAATTATTTTTACAGTCCAATAAAAGCTGATTTTATTAAAGCAAAGCATCAACATTTGGCATTCATATTACATCCAAGCAAAGAAGAATGTTGCAGTGAAGAAGAATTAAGTAGACAGTTACATAGTAGTGTTCGCACAAGTAATTTAGAAACTTCTTTAAGATTGCTTGCACAAGGTGCTAATCCAAGTTACCTTTACAAGGTAATTCTAAATGAAGCAATATTATGTATTACAATAATGGAAACATATGACAAAATATTTAATTCTACAGGAAAAGGGTACAACACCTTTGCATGTCGCTGCTAGAGCAGGTCAAGCTTTGCAGTTAGAGCTTTTAATAGCTAATGGTGGAAATCCTAGTATGATTGATTCAAATGGACAGACACCTGCTGAAATTGCCAAGTATGCAACACTATGTATCCGATTTTACTGATATATATCAAAAAACATTATTCAAATATAATATTCAAATTTTTATTATTTAGAATGGCAGGACATATAGATTTATTTGATCGTATAATTGAATGCTTATATGAAGTAACAGATAGACTAACATATTTCATATGTTCACGCAAGCCAAATCATAGACTGGATGAACACATAATTATTCCTGAATGTACACTATTATTGGAACAAAGTGATCTGTGTTTAGAAGGAAGAAATAAATTACAAATGGTAAATATATTAACTTTGTAAAAATATGAAGTATAATATATGAACTTTTTTTGTGTAGTTATCAAATCATTTGTTGGAAGAATTAGCAATGGATGTTTATGATGAGGTTGATCGGCGAGAAAACGAAGAAAGTAAGATAACTATCATATCATATAAATGACTATTTTCTAAAATGAATCTGAAAATAAACGAATATATCATCAGAAAATAATTCTAGAGTATTAATAATTTTTGAGTTTAATATGAAGCTTTCTATAACAAATGTTGAATAACTTTTTATTGAAATTAACATATGCATATACATACATACATACATATATAATATACTCATAATAATAATAATATATATATTAAAAACCATGCTCTTTTATTATACTATTATACTATTAATATGCATGTTTTTTTTATTGCAACATTTTAAAGGGGAGGTGAGTTAAATTAAAAAATTTTGGTTTCTCAATAACTTCTAATTTTAAATTATGGTATACTAACTTTAAATATATGATTGATTTGAATAATAAAATAACTATTATAAATATTATTTTTTAGTTATTTGATAATTGACAATATTAACTGTTTTTATTTTGTTTTTTGTTAGTTTGGTTTGCAACTGTATCCTTACCTCAAAAATGTACAGTGCCTTTTCTACCAGTCAATCCACAATTATCGTCAACAAGAAATCAAGGTAGACAAAAACTTGCAAGGTTTACACCAAAGGAATTTGCTACACTTATTATAGATGTTCTCATAGAGGCTCGCAGAAGACATATGCTTGCAAATAATGCTCCATTGCAAGGTTTGTAGAAAATTGTGCAGATTATGTATATATGCTTTAATTTATTTGTTATATTATTATATATAGTATTTTTAGATCCAGCTGTTTCTATACTTCGTAAGGAACAACATGGTAAATATGGATCACAAATGTCTGACGATGAACCATTGTATGATAGCGTTGCATCTGATGACGATTACGCATTAACATCGACGGATAATATAACGCCTGAGTATTCAACACAGTTTCAAATGGATAACGAGGTAGGAATTAAATTGATTTAATATGAAATTAAAAAAGATGTTATAAACACGAACATTATGGTATCAACTATAAAAAAAGATAAGGACAATAAGTTACGTGTTAAAAATAGATAAAATTGTATGGTAACGTATTGAAGGTACCAGCTCTAGTAACGAAAAGAAGAATAAGGAATCGGCTAAGTACATGGCTCTTCTGTAGACAGTGCTATTAGGCAAGTGCACCGGTCTGTTAGTGCATGTACAGCCTTTGCCAGAGTGCTTTTGCACCATTTATAATATATAGTTCACTAAACTTCATAACATGGATATATTATGTGTTTTGTTTTATAACAACTATATAGAGTGACTTATAATACCTTTTATTTTTTCCTTGCATAAAAACAAAATTTCATTGTATATGTTAAAATGCTATTGCAGGAAGCCTTTGCACCATTAGCCAAGGGGCTTCCATCTGTCGTAGAAGTTTTGAAAAAACAATTAACTCTCTCTGAATCTACTATCAGGGATCTCCATGAGCAGATACGTACTTTGCAGAGTACTATAGAACAACTGACACATGAAAATAATGAACTAAAACAAATGATTCATGTAAGACAAATATATAATATTTTTATAATATGTTGTTATATGAAATCTAATACATAGAAAATATAGGTAAAAAGATCTGTTGATGGGGTTATTAATGGTCACGTTAGTGGAGAACAAGAACCAGAATTAGAACCAGTGCTTGATATAAAAACATCTCTTACTAGAAGCAATCAACGACCTGCATCTATGTATGAAACAAGAGAAGGTCTACGAAAACCTGGTTCATGGTCAACATCAATTTGTCAGGTATAAATATTGATAATAAATTCTTTAGTTTACATTTATATATTTTTTAAATAAGATTCATTAAATATTTCTATATACGATCAAATATAGTCGAAACGAGATTCAGAAACGATGTCTCGCAGCAATACACAAAGCTTGTGGGAGTGTGGTTCTCCTAGTCTACCTCCGAGCGAGGAAGTTACTCGAAGGACTGAACAAGTTACAAGAAGAATTCAGGAATTATGGATGGCCATGCAAGATCCAAAACAACGGGAAGCTTTTGTACCTTGTGCAGAAAGAATTCGTGTTGCCGTTGCTGAACTCACCGCTATATTTCCCCAAGTAAAATATACATTTTTCTTTAAATATAAACAAAATTAATGTACTAAATACATTTAAATTATGTTGTAGAATCCAATTGAGGAAAATATCAGATCTGCTCTGCGACAACTAAATGGTAATACAGGTAGACTTCAAGCAGAATGTTCTGGTCTTCAAAGATGTACTAGCGATATGGAACATATGGATCGATGCCTTCAACAAGTACGTTCATGTGCTTATGATATTGCCAAAGCAACAAAGCTTCTTGTTACCCAATTTCAGTCGTAACAGATCAAAGGCAAAGTATTACAAATTAAATAATTTTTCCATATTTGATGTATATAAGTTGTACAGACGCTTAATATCGTAATACTCAAAATCATCACAAATTGATATATTTAATAAGTATTCGTTTTGTATTACATAACAGTAATTTGTTGTCTAATATTCTTATTTTTATTATAATGTATATAATGACAAAATTTTAAGGCATGAATATTCTAATAATTTGTTAAAAATATAAAACATGACATATTTCAAGATTCAATATATTTACGTAATTTTTAATATATCATAAAGACTGAATAGCCATGAACCAATGAATTTTATTAATATGCAATTTAAGTTTGTATACTTGGTTTTATAAATGTACTTTCTGCTCATATAAGCTGGCATATAAGAAAAAATAATGAATATAGCAAAATTTATTGCGTTCATGTGATTAAGAAAATACAAAGTGCAATATTAAAAGGAAAAAACATTTCTTATTTTAAAGTATTTGTTAAATACCAGGTAAAAATTTTGTGCATTTTAGTGCCAATAATAAAATTTATTTTATCGTATTAGTAAATAATTGTTTACAGTATAAATGTATGATTAGAAGATTAATTAATAAAAATATGTTTTTATTAGTCATTTTTATGTAATGATGGAGTATTTGTAAATAATTATCATCGTCATCATCATCATCATTATTATTATTTTTATTAATTATTATTCTTATAGATATTATTATTATCAATGTGGTCATATATTATAATGCATTAATTATTTTACTTGTAGTATTTCACTCAAGAATTGATCTAATTGTAATATTGATATTAGGAGCATATGTTTAATATTTCAATAAAATTTAAATATGTCATTGTTGTTACAAACTACATTGATATATTTACTGGAAAATATATTTATCAAAATAAAATCATTTCTAAACATTTTTATGTATCTAGAGATTAAATGTTTTGTATTTGTATTAAAATTTTTGTAATAATAGTTTAAAATGCATGAAAAAATATTATTTTTCATTGTATAATATTGTCTTTTAGGTTCTTCACATGTTTTTTAAGATTCAAATATTGATTTGTAGACGCGATTCGTTTTAAATGAGCAATAAAATTATTTTATCTTAAATGTTTCTATACATCATTGCTTATTTATGTGTTAAATAGTTACGTTTTTGTAATTAAAACATAAAGCATAGATTATACAGTTTATCGTAATTTATATAAGTATATAACATAATACGCATTTTCTTCTTATTTTTAAATTTTGATCGTGGTAGAAAATCAATTACCTTCAGTTAAAGTGATTATTCAATATGATATATATTTGTTAGAAGAATGAATATAAAATATGATAGTAATTGCTTAAATATCACGTATAATGTATAATAATTTAAATATTTAACAGTTAAAATTATTATGGTCAATTACCAAATCACTTTGTTAATAATAAATAATAAATAAGTAATATCAACATTGAATTGAAAAAAAGTAAAAATTTTATGAAAATCCACCTTTAAGAAGTGATTGTCTAGTGAATTTTGTAGGCCAATGATTCACAAGCGTTTTCGCGCTACCTGTTATGAAATCTTCGACGGATGATACAAAAACACGTGTTCTTTACACTTTAGCTGACAAAGTTTTGTGTTATTCAAGTCAGTTTAATTAACTTTAGGTTGGTAGGTAAAAGGAACGAAACAGACATAAAGGGAATACAGTTTTAAGTAAGTTAATTGGTAAAATACGAAAGTTTATGTGGTTGATTGAAGGGAAAGTAGTGAAGCAGGAGAGCGGCCATTTTATGTTAGTATGACGTAGAGGCTGGGTGTAGCTTCGCGTTCAACCGTCCGTGTTCTTTGGAAAAGGCGAGAAAATCTGAATTCTGATGCTGGGGTCGAGGTAAATGCACGTACCACGCACTGAACGTGTGAACCGTAAATTAAGCCCAAGGAAAGTAAGGAAATTAGTTAAATAAGGAAGTACAGGGGTCCTGAAAGAGCGAGCATGAGCGAAGAAAGCAATCCGCGAACGCTCTATGTGGGAAATCTAGACGCTTCGGTGTCGGAGGAACTATTGTGCGCACTTTTTTCACAAATAGGTACCGTTAAAGGATGCAAGATTATACGAGAACCAGGAAACGATCCATATGCGTTTATCGAATTTACGAATCATCAATGCGCGGCTACAGCGCTAGCCGCCATGAACAAGCGATCCTTCCTGAATAAGGAAATGAAGGTTAACTGGGCAACGAGCCCTGGAAATCAGCCGAAGTTGGATACGAGTAATCATCATCATATATTTGTCGGCGATCTTTCACCAGAAATCGAAACACAAACTTTAAAAGAAGCATTCGCGCCTTTTGGCGAAATTAGCAATTGTAGAATTGTCCGTGATCCACAAACCATGAAAAGTAAAGGATATGCTTTTGTATCATTTGTCAAAAAGTCTGAAGCTGAAGCAGCGATAGCAGCTATGAATGGTCAGTGGCTTGGATCTAGAAGCATCAGGACAAATTGGTCAACTAGGAAACCACCACCTCCAAGATCCGAAAGGCCACGACATTCAAATAATAGTAAACCTAACTATGAAGAGGTACGCTTTAAATTTTAGTAAACGATATCTATTAATTTCATTGTTTTTGTACACAATTAATATATGTAATAGACACACATATTTATATTGATGGTAACATAACTAATTGAATTTATTTCATAGTTTTTTATGTATTATTGTTAATAGGTATATAACCAAAGTAGTCCAACAAATTGCACAGTATACTGTGGAGGTTTCACAAATGGCATTACAGATGAGTTAATAACTAAAACATTTTCTCCCTTTGGTACCATACAAGATATAAGAGTATTTAAAGACAAAGGATACGCTTTCATAAAGTTTACTACCAAGGAAGCTGCAACACATGCCATAGAATCAACACATAATACAGAAATTAATGGTAGCATTGTTAAATGTTTTTGGGGAAAAGAAAATGGAGACCCCAATAGTGTGGGTCCAAATGCAAATCATCAAGCTCAACAGGTTATTTTAAAGCATATACTTTCTACTGTGATGGTTTATTTATTTTATTGTTAATTAATTAAAATACATATTGTTGTTTTACTTAATTTTTTTTACTCATTTACTAGGTTACAGCTGGAGCTGGACAATATGCATATGGATATAGCCAGCAAATGAGTTATTGGTATCCACAAGGATATCCACAAATGCAGGGTCAATTTTTACAGCCTGCTCAATACTATGGCCAATATTATGGACAACAGGCTCAATATATGAATAGTATGCGAATGCCTGCTCCTGGTGCAGGTACATGGCAACCTGCACAAGCGACCGCCGCACCACCGACTGCAACTGCACCATTGCCACCAGGTCAGCAACCTGCTATGGTAGCATACACCATGCCACAATACCCCACGCAATGAAATTGATCATTGATCAGCATCAACTAATTGTTACATATGATACATTTGCCCCTGGGGCGTTTGCAAAAACTGTTCTGTCATATACCTATTCCAACAAGATTATTGGTATTTTGACTGCAGCATCATATGTACAAATTTTCCAGTTTTACTTCAATTGAAGTACTATACATGGCAAAAAGAAGCTCCTAAATTTGGTTGTATCAATATCGACTGATATTATGTAATATCTGAAGAGACTATACCATCAAAAGTTCAAAGTGATATATATATAAACATATATACACTTACACGTTTAAATATACATTTCCCTTATACGTTTCCCTTGCCAAACAATAGAAACGTATGTCATTGTAACAAATACAAGTGTATCTTGCAATGTTCATGAAAAAGCAAGTATCATAGCAGTCAATCCATCAGTGTAATATAATAATCTTTTCAAAACAGTTTGTATTCCATGGTGTTGAATGAGGTATATTTCTGAACTTAAAATTGCAGCCCCTTAACGAGCCCTGCATTCGTTGTGCTGCGTAAGGTGTACGTATGTATGCGACCATTGCGTTGTTATATTTTTAATATTTTTGCCACAATTACCAATCTTTAGTTTATTTGAAATCATTAATGAACAAAGATAAATGTTCATTTATGGTAAACACAAAGTATGACATTGAACATAGTATAAGATAGAGAGTATAGGTAGACACGGCGCCTGTGATGTAGCTAGATTTGGATGCATGCTTTGACGTATGCAGGGCCCCTATTAAAGTAAACTATGCGAGTCGATAAACGAGTTGTAAATTTTCCTCGTTTTGTGATATTTATCGTCGGTGGTAAATGTACAAAACATTCTTATAAAGAATTTAAAACAAAAATATTTCTGGAAGTGTGAAAAATGAAATATTTTATGCCGAATTTGTCTTAATTACATACACTTTGTTCTACTGATTAGTGACTCCTCTCCATTTGTACAAAGAAATAGCGAATCTTGGTGTAATTATTACAATGTAATTTAAGTATAATGATAATGATAACGATAAACACTTCCACTAAGAGTTGGAGTCACTACCATTCTGTCTTTATTGATTTATACATCGATAGTTAAAATTACGTTTTTTTGAATATTCTGTTTTCCTCTTATAATAATCAGTATATCAATTGACAATCACATTTGATATTATCTGATATTTTGACGTTATTGCAATTATCATATGGCACGATACTTACTTTTTCGTGTCTTCCAATTATACAGATGAAAATTATTGCACAATTTTAAGAAGATCTCATTCTTCGATTTTCAACAAAGTTAGTTTTAATATTTGTCACTTTGTAAAGAATTCATGACTTTTATTCTGATTATTTCTTGAAAAATAGTTTTTCAAAATATGTTTCATTAAGTTAATAAATTACCGAAAAAAATTAGGGTGACTTAGAGTAATGGAAACTTATCGATACTTCGCTTCACCACCGACGATAAAAAGCCATAAACCTTTCAAAACCAATTTGTATAAAGTCAGTACTGAATGTAATAACAGGAGAAACATAAAGTCGAATATAGCAATGATTAATTGACTGCGATAAGTGATATCGAACTACGGAAAGCCAATTTAAGGAAAAAAAAAACTTGTCTATGGATTAATAATAATCAGTGAACCGATGGAAGACATAAAAAAATGTTATATAAAGAGTAATTTAGGTACAGCAGGGTGTGAAACCCTCGAAAATGCTTAGGATAATGTTATCTTATAATAAAAACAAATTGTCCTTTGAATGAAAAAAAAGGAATAAATATTTAAAATACACAATATTTTGTATTATTTCATAGCCCACGTTATTATAAAATATAAAGTTATGAAATAATATCAAAAGTGATTTTTTAAATTTATAAGAAACGTAGTACCTTCGTTTATAACTGGTTAAATGTAAAAATAATATAAGTTTTTTAAGTACATACAAGGTAATTTTATTTTACAGCCGACATACTTTTACAATTGTTTACGTTCGTCGATCATATTTTTTTCTTCAAATTATTTCATCAAACTCTTAAACCATTTGATAACTGGATGACTTATGTAGAAGACATAATTTTGACTGATTTTTTGACACAATAAAATTTAACGTCAAGCATAGTATTTGCGATTTATTAAAGGTAACACAACTATTTCGTACGTTTTCTGTACAAAAGGGGAGTTGTTATATTCAATTTAAAACAGAAAATATCACGCGAATTACTGTATGAAATAAAAATATTTCTTTCGCGAATATTATCAAGTTAAAACATTTTAACATTATGATTAAAAAATAATAATTCGGCAAAATTGTGAACAATTTAATTCATTTTCATATGGAAGTTGCGAGCATTCCTTTCCAAAATGAAATGCGGTAGAATAATTTGTACTGTACATTTTATTACACACAATACATGCGTTCCTCGATCTCGATCATACAGCGGCAAAATACTAAGTAGGATATCTTGTATTTTTGTACAATAAGTGACACTATACTATTCAGTTACATTTAAAAATTACTATTTAATTGCATGATGTCACTCAGTATATCAACGTTAATTAAATATGTATTTGTTAATTGTTTTATCAAGCGAAGAATACTACGATATAATATAATATATTAAAAGGAGTTGCTCAACGAAAATTTTAGTTTGCAATCTACAATTATAATCTGTCTACCTTGTTCAACATACTTTTTTACATAATTTATAATATTGTTGAAAAATATAAATTTAGCATTTAATCAAAGCATAATTGAAGAAGTCTCTGAAAAATACCATTCGTGGAATAAAAATAAAACTTAAAAGTTTTATGTTACGTTTTATCAAATAAATTACTACTTATTTTACTAACAATTACTATCTTTTTAGAAAGAATGCATATTAATGCCTATTATAAATGACATGAATTTTTTTTAAATTAATACTTTAAGAAATTATCAAAATAATTTTTATCTTTTTATAACATCGGAAAGAAAGGGACTGAAGCTTACAATGTATTTATCAAGAAAACATAATTCGTGCAGCCGTATGCAAATATCTCTTTATGATCAATCCACATTTGATTACTTTTAATTAATATAGCGATAATTAATATTAGCGTTATTATTTTGCTTATATTCTTAAGAAAAATCTCTATTACAAGTTTTTATAAAAGTAGCAAAATAACTTAATCGAGGCTGAGCGTGTTTTGAACATGAAAGGCCAGGGTCGTAAATAGAGATATATCCATATTAATAACAGTCTGTTGTGCAAGGTCATCGAAAAAATACGGACAAAAATATTCTAAATACTATTAATTACTTAATAGAACTTTACATATGATCAATATAAATTTGAAAAAAAGAGGATTGTAAAGTAAGTAAAACTTCAGTACAGTTAACACTATACTCTCTCAACATAAATACTTTTAACACTTACATTAAATTAATTACATACAGCATTCAACGATACATATTAAACTTAATACATTTATACTGATGCAATGCTGAAATTGAACAGGTTTGGCATTATTTGTTCGTTAGTTGTATTTGTGTATTCGATAGAAACTTTGCGCAATCTTGCGGCAAGTGCAAATTTATATTTTTTGCAACTACTTTCCTATGAGTGCATCAGGTATAACTAATATTGAAATTCTAATAACTCGAACGAGCAATTTTTTTTTCATTAAATTGCATGGCAAAAATGAAACGATCTTTAATATTACTTTTGAAATATGCTACATATATATCATACTATATTATTGATCAGTATCAATTATTGATCACACCAGAAAAACTCTAAACTCGTTGCATTGTCGTCATTAACTGGAAATTTTAATGAGTTACAATACAAAAAAACAATTATTCCATACTTCGATTTAAACAAGTACACACTGAATAAAGTTAACAAATTTTTAATTAATTAATTTCAAAATAAAATAATATTGGGCTAATATCAAGAACTTAATATTACTGTTTTGCAATAAATGCATTTTTAAATTAATGATTATATCATACAAGCACAATCACCTTTTATTTGAGCATTTGAAGCAATAGTTAAATATCAAAAACTTTATATATGCGATTTCTTTTTGTAGCATACCTTCATCGTAACATTAAATTTTTACTGATATTTACTTATAAATAATAAATATTTCTTTCATAAAGTTCAAATATATTTCCAGTTCGTTGTCTTATAGTAATCTCATCAAATCAAGAAATGATTTATAATTTGACAAGTATGATACCACTATTAAGAAATCTTAATCATATTACTTTATTTTAACAATTATCAAATGAGTATCTGAAATGTTACCAAACACAACAAGAATAATATTTGCAATATTTTTCCCAAATATGTTATACAGTGTGCAATTTGTTATTTTTATAAAATTCAATTCTATTTAAGTATTTATTTTGGTACCTAAAACATTCTATTCAAGTACTTTTTTTTCACTTTAAGCACGTGCTTGTACAAGATCTACAGATTTTTATTGTTTTTAATACTTACTTAATAACATAATTACAGCAGTATTCAATTTGTTTATATCCAATTATAGTAATTACTTTATTATCTGGCTGGACGTGAGCTGTTTCATGTGCAAATAGTCTTTCTACTAACATTATTCAAATCAATTGTGCTTGAATAGTAATTAAATATTTACATTACTTTTTTCATTATATGCATTGTAATTGTTGACTGTAGTATTGTATCTTTTTTTATATCATTAGAATAATTTATATTATTATTACTTATTAGTGCATACTTAGATAACAAAAATAAGTTATAATTTAATGGAATTAAAAATCATAATTTATCAAAATATGAAATAAAGATTACAAAATCTATATAGATTATATAACTGAGAAGACTGGAATTCTAATATTAACATGTTTAAAGTGAAACTTAAATCTATGATACCTGATTATTGGATGGAGTATAGAATGTATCATATACATACATATATATATATATGCACACACACACACACACACACAACGCGCGCGCATAGCGTGTATATATATGCGTGTTACATATATGTATAGCATAAAGCTATTAATATTACAGTGTTACTGCTGTAATATGGTTTAAAAAACATTACTTAGCAAGAGTGCCTTTTGCAGTATTATAACATTTTCTTTTACGTATAGATATCATTTATAAATTAGCTTAGAAAATGTAAAAGCTGCTATATTTACACTCTATAATAATTAATATTTTTTTTTTTTTTTTTTTTTTTTTTTTTTTTTTTTTTTTTTTTTTTTTTTCCCCGAACATTGATAGTTTACTGTAAATTATTTTCAAGCCTTGTACTTTAACTAATTTTTAAAAATCATAGACTTACGTCACCATATTCGAAACTCCATTTTTCGTATGCAGCCAAACTTGCAGGTGACACTGATCTACGAATTCTTTTAAGCGAATCACGAAAATCTTGCATTCTAATATTGCGTACAGAATTAAGGTCCAATTCCTTTACTTGATCTGGATTAAGTTCTATACAACATTGATACATTTTTTTAAATAAATTTTTGCATACACAATTAATCAATACTCGTTTATTCATTGGTTAGACTGTCTGGACCAGATCTTCATATCCATTCAGTCTATTTGAAGTAAATAATACACAAAATATAAAATAAAAATAAGTGAAATTTTATCTTACCTCTAATAG